CACGGACCGAGGACTGCAGCCAACGTCTGTTTCTCCATCCGGGGCGATTCCCTGTACTATCCAGAAGAGATCTAATCCTTGTCTACCGGTCTCCAGTCTCCTTCGTGTTTCCCCTGTTATGTGTATTTTATTATCTTTAGTGCTTTTCCTGTTGTTCATGTTATATTCGTGTTATAAGGATAAACTCTTATTATTTAAATGGTGTTAGGACAAGGTGACCTTAGCGATCGCACCTTCCGCTGGGCGCGCTCGCTTACTATAAGCGAGAACCATTTGAGGAACCACTAGAGTTGAGAGATTTCTAGAAACTCCCCCATCTTCTCTGCTATAATGGGGAAACAAGAAACCACTCAAGTTCCCCATAGGTACCGTCGACAAAAAGAATCACCCGGGAAGTAAACACTAACGAGGAGATCGGCGCCTTAACCCCGAAATGTGGTGGTGACCAGCCGAAGGAATTCATTCACACGGATCCCTGTCAATGGGCTCCCATGAAAGCACTTTCGGAAAATCGGTAGCCTAAGTTCCAAATACTAGAGCACCAGTAGACGAATAGGTTCCTGCTTTCTATCGCTACAGAAGGAAAAAGGGTCTAGCGTCTCTTGAACTAATGGGAATGTTCTGTTCGCGTTCTGTTTTCGAAAGGCTCAAGATGCTCAGAGAGTGACTTCAAAGCCCTGCAAGCAAATGCAAGTGCTGAGCAAAGTACGGCTGCTTGAACTATAGCATCCACATGACTTATTCGTGGAGAAGGCCGTGCAGTCGCCCATTACAAGGGTAGCACATCATGGGGTTGCAACGAATATACCAACCAGGTGGGGATCGTTCTGGTTAGTTCACACCAGACTTATATAGTCGCTAGACATGTTTACGCTTATTTCGAATATACCTATCAACATTGCTGAATGGCTCAACGCATCGGTCCCGAACGGCTGTACGGACGACTGGCCTGGTCTGTTGTAGATATATTCTTAAGTATCGAAAAAGTTTTTGAATAGAAGAAAAGATGTTATCATCCCACCTTCTAGTAGAGCTTACCTTTCGAAGTTTGCTGGAAAGTCTCCCGTTTGTAGTAAAATAGCATGCAATCCACGAAAGTGATAAGCTCCACGGAGGGGTCTCCATTAGGGCGCTGATGTTTCGCCTGGCCACGCGTTGAGGCGATCCTTCCTAAAACCCCCCGATCACGAAGGGAGCGAGGAACTGTACGTCGCGAGTACTGCTACTGTGATGGTGATGCGGCATCCTTTCCCTTCACCCCACGCTACTGCGACTACACTACCCCTGCCACGATCGTACGTGCAAACCATGTGTGTACAAACATGTGTGTGTGTGCGTGCATATATATCTAAGCATCTATGAATAAATCCTCAATTACGCACTATGAGGAATGATTGAAAGTGCGACATTAAACACTTGCCCGTCGCCACGGCTATCACGAAATACGACATACACAAACGGTTATCACATTTATCTTCACACGACACGTAAATGCGAAAAGTGACTTAAGGGTCAAGCTCCTACCTCATTAGGGGTCGTCGGCACTCTCTGCCCTCGGGGAAGGAGAGCGACGCGGTGTCCGCAGACGTGTGTCATGCACGGACCGCTCCTCTCCGCGGCCCCGAGTTCCTTCGCTGACCCGAGGCTCCATGGTGCTCTCAACACTCCCGAGCTGCTGATGACCTCAGCCGTCCGGCGACGGCTGGCAGCTCTTTACTTTCCATCCTCCTGCTTGCACCCTGCAGCCTCTTTTATCTCTTCTCTCTCGGCAGTGCGTTCTTCTGAGTGCTTCCGATCCCTTTGAGTCGAGGTTACACGATAACGATGGTGAAGCGAGAATACGACACACGAAATAGAAAAGCAACCGCTCGGCGCGTTGGCATGGCACTGAATGACAGGGTGTTGGGTGCACACTCGGCGCCACGTCCAATGCCACGTGGCAATCGATGACGACGGCGCAATCGATGGTGACGGCGCTGCACGTCGAATAGTATGTGCGCGGTGTAGTGACAGCCCAGATGTTAAGAAGTCGTGGGTTTCACTACACTGGGGGCGACAACAACGAAAGCCGCCCGGCGACAGGAGCATCGAGTGCCGCTTACCTACAAACGACATACCAGTTAGAACCGACGACTACCGGACGGGCCTAGGTCGACGTGTGTTTCCGTAAATCGCACGTGTGCAGGAGCTTGCGGTCGAGGATATGTGACTTCAGGGATATACAATACCTACGACTAAGAAACAAATAAAATACACACGAGTAAATGCATAAAAATGGTATCATGTAGTGAACTCGACTTCCCTTGCTGCCATTCGACGTTGTTGTGTGAGTGCGATCGTGGATGTTGCTGCGAATCGACGGCGTTGGACCAGACCAGTGATGACGAGCGACGTTGTGGGTGAGGTGAGCAGGAATAATCCCACTCGAAGGCCGAATTTGTGAGGGGGAGATTTTACCTCACGATTGCAAAACAGATCCCCAGGGTCATCACAAGAAGGCACGTAGAAACCCAGGACAAGTGAAACAGATAAGCGGTCTCCCGCCGCTTCCCCCGTGGGATGTGCACAAGGCACCAACTTGTTCTTTAGAACATGCAAGTTAAAGAGAATGCGAAGCCGTGGCTTTTCTTGCTTTTTGAAGCAAGTGCGGTTTATCGAAAATGCGAGGCTATGCCTGTAGCTGCTTCAGTCGTCGCTGCGTTAATAGTCATCACTGCGGAAATATTCTTACTGCGTTGAGCGTCCCTGCGCAACTAGAGCATCCTACGCTTATCGCGTACGTACTGCGCGTGAGCCTTTGCGTCCTTCAAATAATTGCCATACTCCAACTCGTCGAGATCTCTTATGACGTTCTTGTTGTAAGCGCAAAAGGCTGTGTGATGATGTTTAGACTGGCAACCTTTGCATTTAAGAGTACTTGCGCAATGCTCTTCGCGATGAACTGCTCCACACTCAAAGCAACCACCCCTTTCTGTGCTGATTTTGATACGCGGTTGAGGCTGGGGTAGTTTCTACAGCTAGATGTGTTATGAAGGTACCCGCAAAGGAAGCATCTCGTAGTTGAGTTCCCCTGCCGGATACAACGGCTGTGCTATGAGCGGGCGCTGCTCTACTTCCTCAACGCGGCCATACTCCTCCGTGAGAGGAGCCTGGGGGCGAGCCGGCAAATCCCTGGCGCGTTGTTGTAACTGCGCCTCTGGTTGTGCCCCTGCGGCGTGTGCTGGTTGTGGTGCAGTAGCGCGTGACTGCGAAGAAGTTGTGCGAGACTGCGAGGTGGATGAAGGCCTACGTTCACGCTGATGTTGCTGAGACGACTGAGCTTGGTCTCTTTGCTCAAGATGCGGATGCGGCGTGCCAGGGTATTGTTCAAGTTATCCCTGCTGCTCCTCAGGGAACTGCGATTCTGCGATTCTGCGTGCTCTTTGCCATGAATGCCTTCATCAAATGAACGACAAGACATTTCCAAAGCTTCGGGGAGGTCAATCCCGATGGTATACACACAATCACCTCAAATGGCGTAGTATGACGCTGCGGATGTTAATGGCGGACTACGCAATGCGACCCGAAGCAATAGGTGCAAATGCAATAAAAGGTGCGGAGAAAATGTCGAAATGTCTTGATGAAAGTGCGTAAAAGAAAGAAAAGGAAAAATGGTACCGATGATTTGTCAGTGCGTCAGTTATTAATGACATTGATGTCGTTCATTAACAGTAATGAAGGAAAGGTTAGAGAAGATAAATAGAAGTATGAGTATGAAATATGCAAAAAATGTGGTTAAATATGATGGATGAATACTTATATTATTATGAAACGCAATAGCGCTGAAACTGCGCTTTTGAAAATGGCGAATGAAATGATGATATGAAGCCTGAAAAAGCTTAGTACCTTCGCACAGTGTGAAACTGCGAAAAATAATTACGCAGCTAGTAATTCGCACAATTACGACGCTATGATAACGTAGGAATGTGCGTCTATTAAAAGATAATACGTTTACCGTAAGCATGATCGCATGGCGCACGCCAATAAAGGCTCTGCGCCAGTGCGAAATAATGACCAGTAAGCAATAAATTGTGACGTTTGATAAGCAGCGTGAATTGGCTGCATAAATAGTGCGACAAAATGACTGTGCGGTAAAAAATGTGGGCAAGAATAGGAATGTGCGCGTAAAATTTTGTAAGTGCGCACACAACAATGAAGAGAGAGGAAAGAAGGTGCGACAAAATGTGAAAAATAACTTGCAAGAACAAACTTGTCTAGGAACGACATCAATGGCACTGCGAAACAAAAGGTTACAAACTAGAAAAGTTAACGCAACTGTGCTACCTGACCAACCCATCGTCCTTGCGATAGAAGAGAGGAGTTTATAAGAATACCATGTCGTAGATCAGCAGAGTAGTGAATAACAAGTCGCTGAAGATAAAAGTGGGAAGATGACGCGAACTTCGCCACGTACGTGGGATCAACCCGATTTCGAAAGTAAGCCTTACCGCGGCCATGCTCGCGTGTGATTAGAGCACGTTATGTTCTAGTGAAGCTTAATGGACTTACCTCGGTCGAATAACGTACGAAACGAACATAACGCATAACGATCAGCTTCGGATGAACTCGTGGTACGTCTTTGCGACTCGACTGGGTTGCGTTCTCTGCGGCAGCTGCGGTGTTAGATCTTTCTGCTGCCTGTGCGAATCTGATGGATACGTGCGTTTCGCCTGTATCTTTAAACGATGCAAATGCGCTATTGTTAGCGTAAGAAGTTTCCCAGTGGATACGCGAACATCTACAGATCGAAACTTACCATCTGAACCGCTACGATCTTTACTACAAGCCCTAATGGCCAATGACTTCTAGGCAGCTTTTCGTCAGCGATAATGACAACGTCATTGATGTTAAGCGGCGCTGCGGCGTATTTAGGTTGTCTTATACGCAGTTGATGACGCTCTTTCAACGCTGCAAGATAGTCTGTGTGCCATAGATGCCAAAAATGGTCTAGAACCTTAATAGATTCTTTATACCACAAGCTGAGCTTGTGCGCGGTAGCGGCGAATTCGCTCTGTAAATGATATGAAGGTGGTATTTGTAAGGAAACGCACCAAAATAAAGTCTATAGGTCTTAATGCCCAAACTGACGACTGCCTTTCACGAAAGGGAGTTATAGGACGGGAGTTTATGACCGCCTCTATTTCTGCGACGACGGTCTGAAATTCAATGGTGTTATAAATCGCCAAGTTCTTGTGGTTAGCGCTAAAATCTGCGACTTGACGCCAAGAACCTGCAGCGTATACGACGTTTGATAAAGCATCGTCTGCGGCATGGAATGTAGTTGCGTTATCGCTATAGATGTTGTCTGGAGTGCTTCTGCGAGCTATAAACCTGCAGAAGGCTAGAAGAAACTCCTGACCCGTGTTGTTCACGACGAGTTCAAGATGGACTGCCCCGGTAGCCATGCAGGTTATAAGGCATACCCAGAGCATCTCAACAGATGAATAGACGCTGCGATAACTCAAAGGGCCGAAATGGTCGATACCGACATATTGGAGGATCTCGAGATCTTGTTGTCCGTTCTTCCGGTAACGTTGGCATTTCCGGATAACGGTATGCGCGGCCACTAGCTTTCCTAAAGACGACACATGTGCGAAGAGTTTTAGCGACTAAACTACGTACGGATGGAATGAAGTAGTTATTACGTAGTGAGGCTACGGTGGAATAAACTCCCACGTGGTAATACTGTAGGTGATGATGCCAAACGAGAATCGTAGCCAGTCTGTGTGATGGAATTATGAGGACTGGCGCCGATGAAGCATAACCTACGCGAAAAAGACAACGGAGAAGTCCTAGATGATCTTTCTGCGAGTTGAACTTATGCAATGGCAAACGCTGCAGGATATGTTCATCCTCGCGGTAATGCGCGAAGATGAGCAATGTCTCTGCGGCTGTCATTTCAACGGCTGTAAGACTTCCTGTGAAGTTCGACTGAGCCACTTGCGGTACGAGATGTTGTAAGCGCTTCTGCGTCGACGGTGAAATGCTGTCGGAGATTCGTATTCGCAGAAAACGGAGGACATATGCCGTGATCCTAAGCAGCTTTTTCAAGCTGTTAGTGCGACAAAACGGCAAGACAGAGACAAAATTTGAAGTTTGCGCAANGTGCGCTGAGTGGTACTCAGATTCGCAGTCCTTTTCGCTGCCAGGAGGTAGCGAAATGTCTGATGTAGCAGACCATTGAGATGGTGGCGAACATAGAAATGATGGACCTGACCACCAAATATGGCCCTGTTCGTCTTTCGTCGACAACCCACGTGTGGCGCAATCTGCAGGATTATCCTGCGATGCGACATAGTAAAACTTAGTGGTGATGTTACGTTGTCGAAAAGACGCTACAATGTCCTTGATGGTCTTAACCCTATTATGGACAAAGGTCTTAAACTGCCGAGATGAGTGCATACAATGTAGGGCTATCTGCGAGTCGGAGAAGACGCGTGAGGACGAGATGTTAATGTCCAACTGGTTAACAACGTGCTGCGCAAAGCGGACACTGATGAGTACTGCGAGAAGTTCTGATCGTGGTATCGTTATAGGCTTAAAGTCGTTGAGGAGCGACTTTGCCATAACGAGACACGATGACGATGCAGACTGTGACCGACAAAGAAGATTTGCGCAACAAGCATAGACACGTTTAGAGGCGTCTCGAAAGACGCATAACTCGAAGGAACTAGCTCTTACTTCCCTCGAGACGACTAATCTAGGTATTGATGGACGTCATCGGCGGCACAACAGCACAGAACTGACAGTAGACAAGGTAGACAAATCTAACAGCACA